GCCCGCCCGACGGCAGCCCGCGCGGGAGGCGGCGGGACGCGGCGCGGGAAGGTGCGTCCCGGGCCCGGCTCCTCCCGCCCTCGGCTTGGGTCTCCCCGATGCGCCCCTGCGCACGTTGTCCCCCACCCCCGCGGACTTCTGTCCCTGCTCAGACTCCCTCTGTGACTCTCCCCGTCTCTCAGCCCGGTACACTGGCGGTGCCCGCTCCGGAACCTCCTTCCTTACACTAGGACCCAACATGAAGGCTTATTTTCCATCTCCAGCTCCCCTGTCTGTGGCCTCCTTCCCTCCCTCCCCCCAGAGCAGGCCTTAGATTTCCCATTCCTGGCTCTAGCTCATCCGGAGGCCTGCCCAAAAACAGCACCACCGGAGAGAGGATAGGGCCTCTTGGGGGTGGATTCTTACAGCCAGAAGCAGCATAACAGGGCACAGGGCCGGGAAGCAGCAAACTCTCCCCTTTCTGGGGGTTGACCAGGGACCCCCAGCTATGCTCTTCTTAACCCCACTGAGGCGTGGGTGCCTACTCAAGCTTCTTAGCAAATCTGGGAACCAGGCACACTCCTTCTCTGGCAGCCCCCCCTTAAGTCCTTGGGAGGGGGTGGATTCTGTCCCCAAGAGGACTGAGAAGTACAGAAAGATTTCTGCAACAGGAGGGTAGGATGAGGAGGGAACACAGGAAGGAGCACCGGGGAGCAGATGGATCTTGGTGTTGCCACTAGCTCGGCTGTGTGAATTTAAGCAAATTGCTTTCCTTCTCTGGGACTCAGCTTCCTTGTCTGCAAAAGTAGAAGGTTGGTCTTGTGGTCTGAAAATGGAGAGACAAAAGTGTGGGAAGAAGGACGGGAGGGCATCAAGGGAAAGGAGTCAGGGATCTTCCTGCCTCTGAGTTTAACCTCCAGGGGGACCGGGACAGCAGCTCTCTCCTGGGTCAGAGAAGATCAAGCCCTTTCAGTTAGCGCCCTGTGAACACTGGACACCCTGGCTGAACAGCTGCCTTCTGGGCCAAGGACGGGGACTTGGTGTGCTCTAGGTTCCAAGGTTCCACGGAGGCTGTCCTTCCAGCAGCTGTGCAGCTCTCTGCTGAAGGCAGATGGTGGCCGGCTGGCAGCCCCCCCGCACCCCCCTCAGCAGGGAAGAGCCTGCCAGGAGCTTCCCAGGCCCCACTGGGTCTCCTCACCTGACCTCGTGCTCTGGGAAGGTGAGCTTACCTGGGTCTGCAGTCCCGGTTCCGGAAGCGGTGGTCTTTTTGGAGTGGTTCCTACGTGCTCTGTCCACTCAGTAGTCTCATGCCTAGCCTGGCCCTTTCTTGTCTCTACATTATTTCCCCCAAAAGTCTAGGAAATGAGAAAGAGAAATGACTTTATTTACTCTCAGTTGCCTTTTTTTTTTTAAGAATTTTTTTATTTATTCATTTGAGACAGAGAGATACAGAGAGAGAGAGCGAGCAGGAGCAGGGGGAGAGGCAGAGGAAGAGGGAGAAGCAGACTCCCCGCCGAGCAGGGAGCCCGACACGGGGCTCGATCCCAGGGCCCATCGGGCCCGGAGATCATGACCCGAGCCGAAGGCAGGCGCCCAACCATCTGAGCCACCCAGGCACCCCTCTCAGTTGCCTTTTGGATGCTCATTCCTGGAGCAGCTTATTCCCCCCCCTCCCTGGGAGGGGGGCGGGGCGGGAAGAGGCCTCTTGTATTTGTTTCAGGCATCTGAGGTTTGGGGGAAGGCATGGGGACCCCTGACTTGGGGATAACACTCATCTCTTCAGTGGTCAGGTCTGGGGTTTGGGGGGGAGGAAGCATGGAAGGAAAATGTCACAGAGAAAGGATTTTTTGTTTTTTAGCACAACCCTAATGCTGAAACCCCAGAGTGGGGGTACTCACTTTGCAGGGGGATATACAGAGGGGCAGAGGGGCAGCCCTGGGCACATACTTAGTGCTTAGGGAGGCAGAGAGAGTTCGTGGGCTTTGGAAACCAGATGCTCCCAGGTTCCAATTCTGTGTCTTTTCCCACATTCCCAAGTGGTGTGTCCTTGGGCAGGTTGCTTAACCTCCATGAACCTGAGCGGCTGCCCCCCTTCAGTCGACAAGTATTTACTGAGCACTGTTCTAGGCATCAGAAGTGACCAGTGTAAGCCCACAGCTCCCACGGAGCTCAGTTATGTCTGAAAATGTGGCGGTGGTTAACACCTGCCTTGTGGGGCTGGGTAGGTTAACGGGATAGCCTCTAAGTGCCCAGGGGGTGGGAGTGACTAAAAATAGGCAAATAGATGGGCGCTGTCATTGGGAGGCATGTGGCCGGCCACTGCTCACGCTGGGTCTCCCAGGAATGGAGGGAAGCTGGAGGTGGGGGGAGTCAGTGACTGTGGGGACCACCCCTCCCCCCACCTCCCATGAACCTGCCTGTGCTGAGGTCATGGGTCACCGCCAGGACCCCGGAGCCTGGGCTTTCTCGGAACACCTCCTTGCCAAAGAGCAGAGCGCCTCTAATAGCCTGGAGTCTCTAAAAGCTTTGACCACAGCTCAGCTTACTCCCTGCAAACCCTTTGAAGCGCTTCCTTCGAACTTGCTTTGCATATTCTGGTCAGATCTGAATCAGACTAGCAGGAATTACCCCTCTCGGTAAAGTCTAGGTGGCTGCCTTAGCTTGTCAATGACGTGGTGAAGACGAGCTCGGTTCCATGGCGAGGAGCGCCCCTGACATACAGGGGGCAGAGCCTGAACCTCCGCGGCTCCCTCTCTCCCTCGGACGCGGCGCGGGTGCGGGTGAAAGAGAAAGCAAGGCAGGGAAGGGGCGGGGAGGAAAAGGCTCCAGTCGGTTTTCATTAAAAAATAGTGCTCTTTATTATAAATTACTGAATTGTTTCTTTTTTGAATATAAATATAAATATGTGCAAAGTTTGACTTGGATTGGTATTTTGTTGAGTTCTTCAAGCATCTCCTAACAGCCTCGAAGGCCTGGGTGGGGGAGGGAAGAGGACTGGAGGTGGAATCTTTATAAAAGACAGAGTGATTGAGGCAGATTGTAAACATTATTAAAACAAAACAAAACAAAAACAAAACAAAATAACAGGGAAAAAAAAAAACAACCCAAACACCCCAACACACAGCTGCCCCATCCAGCCCAATAACCTGACACAGAAAACTTTGTGTTTTTTCGTTTTCCCCAAAAAGAACAGTTCCAGGTAATTCCATCACTGCTACATTCCTGTTAACTTTTCACTGATCAGTGCTATTGCAGAAGGGAGCAGCTGGGCTGGCAGGGGCCCCAGTCTCTCAATGACTTCCTGCCTGTGCCCTTCCCCCACCCCCCAGGTGAGGAGGGCTGTGGGACCTGGTGGCTCTGCTCTGCCAGAGCCCAGGCACCGGGAGGCACCTGTGACTGGCCAATACCGAATGGGCTCGCCTTCTTCCAGGGCTTGGCTGGAAGGCCTGGACCTCCACCCACCTCCACCTCCGCCCGCCCCTCCCCCGACGCCGAGTGGCCGGCAGCAGCCCTCCGAGGATCCCTTGGCCTCTGCCTGGATTGGCTGAGCGTTTGGCTTCTTGTGTGCCAGTCCCTATCCGTGGGACAGGGAGCATTTAAGGCAAATCTCCTAGCCAGACAGGACGCACAAAGTAGAATCCTTCATCTTCTCTGTCCGGGGACCTGGGGTCAAAGATGGCTCATCTCCTCCATCCTCCTCCCACCCCCAGGTGCCAGAAGGGAGAGCAGGGGTGGGGAAAAGAATAGTCGACCAGCCCACCCCTTCCCCTCCAAATGCCACTTCCCCCTTAAAACGGGGGAAGGGCCCTGGGCTCCCCGGCACTAGATGGACTCTGGGACCTGTGTTTCTGGTGGCTGTCCTAGAGAGGATAACAGAATAGCCCCCTTCCGGTCACCCCTTGCGCTCATCCCCCAGAGCCAGAGGAGGAGCACGCAGCCGCCTCCTCACCTGGGGTGGACAGTGGGAGTGGCCATCGCCGTGGCCAGCCTGTGGCCCTGAGGCCCCTGGGGCGCCCTCTCCCGCACCCTCTTCCAGGCCAGAGACCTGCTCGCGTTTAAAGCTACCTTTTAAGCCAAATCAAAGAGCAAACAAGTTCCGTTGGAAAGTTTGAAGACTCCCCGGCAGTTCTCACTAGTTCAACACTCCCGCAGTGTCCCCTGTTTGGAAATGCAGGGGGAGTCGAGGAAGCGAGGAAGAGTTGAGAAGAGAATCCACTGCTGTCGCCGCTGTCCCCACCCGGCCAGCTGGCTCCTCCGGAGAAGCCGGAGTGGGGGCGGGGCGCTCAGGTGGCACTCCCCCTTCCCTCAAACACATTCCAGGTCCCGCCTGCCCCATTCTGCAGGGGGGAAGGCCGAAGGGAGGGGCCAGTCCACCCCCCTGGCTCACCCGGAGCGGCAGGACTCTCCCGGTTGGATTCTTGTGCTTGTGCCACGGAGGAGAGGGGACCCAGGCTCCTCGCCCCGACCCCTGTCCTTTGCTCTTTAAAGCGGGGCATCGTACTGGTCCAGGAATTCCCGAATGGGCCCAGGCAGCTGGGTGACTTTCTCATAGGAGTCCAGGTGGCCATTGACGGTCTTCCGACAGAGATGTTGGAGAGTGGCCACGTTGGAGGAGAGGGGCCGGCTCAACACCAGAGGGATCTTCTCGCCCCCCGAGTAGATGTAATAGGCTCTCCTGGGAGGATTCCCTGGGAGCGGCTGGGATGGCGGCTGCTCCGGCACCTCGGAGGAGGGTTCGGTCGGCGGAGAGGGGAAGGAGGGGGCGCCGGGGGGCGGCATGTAGTGATGCACCAGCTTGAGCACGCAGTCGAAGCGGGGCACCGGCTGCGTGCTCCGGGGGTCGCTCTGCAGCGAGAAGCTGCCCCCCTCGCACTGGATGCGCAGATTCTTGGTCCCCGACTGGGTCTTGACGCTGAGCGTGAAGAAGTGGCGCTGGTCCGAGCTGTCGCGGATGAGGAAGGTGCCGGCGGGCTCGGCGCTGAGCAGCAGGTTCGCCTCACCGCCGGTCACGGCGCTCCAGTAGAAGCCGCTCTCCTGCAGCTTGCGCACTGCGTTCACCACCAGCTGGTACTCGCTCTTGGAGCTGAAGGTCTTGAGGCGCAGGCTGGTGTCCAGGGGGCGGCTCATCCCGGCGGCGGGAAACTTGCTGTGGGTGACCATGGCGCACGGAGCCAGCGTGGATCTGCGCGGCGGCGGCTGCAGCTGCTCGGCGGCCTCCGCACAGCGGCCGCTACCGCATCCCCGGGGGCTGTGGGGAGGAAGGGGCGAGCCGCGTGAGTGCCCGGAACCCTCCAGCGCGCCCGGCCCGCCCCGGCTCCCCAGCCTCCGCCGAGCGGCCTGAGCACCCTCCCCTGCCCGGAGGCCCCCTGCCTGAGCCCTTCTTCCCACCCAGGCACCCCGCGGAGCCCGCCCAGCCCCCGCCCCCGGCGGCGGGGTGGCCCCAGGCAGCCCCCTCCTCAGCGCGCAATGGGAGAACGCCGAGTGGGAAACTCGGGCGCGGAAGTTGGGTCTCCGGGAGCATGGCCGTGGTGGGGAGCGGGAGAAGGGCCCCCGGGACGCTCTGGGCGCCGCTCAGTCCGGTGGCCCCGGGCGGCGGGGACGGAGAGAGAAATCTGAGGCACGGGGGGTGGGGTGGGGTGGGGAGGGGACATGAGAAGCCCGAGGGCCCAGCCTGGGTCTTCCGGGAACCTGGGATCTCCGGCTTCCATCCGCTCTGGCCCCTACCTCGTCCCCTCCCTGCCGGGAATGACCCGGGAAGGGGAGGGGAAACCGGGAAAAGCTCCCGGGACTAGCTAGCCCCCCCCCCAGCCCCCGCTCCCGCCCCGCTCCACGCCGCGCCCCTCCTTCCTACCTGGTCCCAAAACGAAGTCTCCGGCCTTGGGGCTGCGCCTCCTACGGTCCCCAAGGCGAGGCGGAGGCGCGGCGGCCAGCGGTGGCCCGCGCTGCGCCCAGATGTTGGCGGCCGTGAAGTCCACAAAGGGCCTCGCGCGCGCGTCCCTCGGGCTTCGCTGGGGCGCCCGCCCTGCCCCCTGCGCGTCCCCGGGCCG